GGGCCTTTCAACCGCCACATTGGCCAATCCCAACCTCCAGCACGGGCGAAGCCCGCGACGGTACATCGCCGGGGGTGGCAGCACGAACGGCCCAGCAAGGATGGGCCTGGAATGATGCAACGTGGGTTCCCGAAACCCGCTGACGTGCGATTCTACCAAGATGACTACAAATGTTGTTTTCTTGTTTCTGAAGCATTAGATCTTACTATAACTCCGATGAAACCATTTAGAACCACTGACTTCAAAGGCCCCTTCCGTAAGGGCCTTTCGCGCGAACAACCAGCCAAGAGGAGTGTCAAACACAAAGCTCCGGGATGCGGAGGCGGGACATACGATGGAGGTACTGTGGATGGTTGCGAAATCCATTTCGCACCACTTGGAAACCATGGGAAACCATGGTTTGTTGGTAATTACAGGGGAATCATCCTTCCAGGGTTTCTAAGGTGGTGCCGGATTTCGTCCCTCCGCAGTCGGGAACATGTAACGCAACGTGTCTCGGAATCCGCTCGATGAGTGAGACCTGTGTTCCCTCCCGCGCCCCAAAGGGTTGGCCAAACAAGATCGAGACACATGGGTCCTTCTGAGGTTCCAGTACTGCTTCAGGGTGTGCAAGGTCAAAAGACTTTGCTGTTTGGCGAAATCGCCAAACACATAGAAAGCCAACTTTGAGATGTGTCTGGGTGGTCCTCAGATCCATGAGACGCTTCACTTTGAGTGGCCCCCTACTGAACCCTAAAGGCTAAAAGGGATGGCCGGAATCCACCGGGGTTTTTGGTGTTGCGACAGGTGGGTCTAGACCATTCTGCGTTCGAACCCCCAGCTGTGAACCAAACGCCCGCGCCTCCTTCAGCGAGGCCGGGCCGAAGGAGGCGCGGATCTCGCAGCAAGAGCCGCGTCCGCCAGCATCGTCGAGAGGGGAGCAGCAAAACAGAGAATCCTGGGCTAGGCCGATGCCGCCGCATATGGAGGTGTTTAAACAAGAAAACAAAAAACAAAAACAAAACACACACACACACTAGGAGCCCTTCACGGGATCAGGCAGGCAGTCACAAGCTCCGCCTACGACCCCTCTGGTTGAAACCTTCATTCTAGCACTGCTCGCCGCAGAGTAACTTGCACAGAACGTGATTGCCTCACTTCCTGAGTTGCTGGGGCAAAAAGAGTACAAACTTGTTGTTTGCAATAAAAACAATTGTCTTTCCAAAAAGGATAAAGTCCAGGAACTCAGGAAGTGAGTTGCACGGAGAACGTTGCAAACATGCGCAAGGCACCCTATCTGCATTATTTTCCTATAAGTGCAGAACCTGAAATGTTCAGAGCCCCAGAACAAGAACCCACATCATGGTGAGCTCTTGTTGCCCCCAACTCGCCATCTAATAGACAGACCCTAAATGTGTGTGTGTGTGTGTGCGCGTTTGTGATTTGAGGGGGACACATAGTGGTTTTTTTTGAGTGTCCCTGAAAAATAAAACACCAAACAGGGGGTAGCAACTCAAAAAATGAGAAACACAAATTGGACCTGACTTCAAGCCCTGCTTCGGGCTTGGTCAGCAATTTATTCTACTCATGTGAGCTGAAAAAATAAACCCGTATTAACACTCTTATCCCAAGTTGTTTTCATTGCAAATCCAAGCGGCGGTCTTCATAAGCATTGAGGTCCCCCAATAGCATGCCCCTGTAAGTGTATGAGGTCGTTGGCAAACGGAAGTAGTGGTAGTAGTGACAGCAGCCGAGGTAGTAGTAGTAGTCGTAGTCGTAGTAGTAGTCGTAGTAGTAGTAGTAGTAGGAGGAGGTAGTCATCCTAGTAGCAGTAGCAGCAGCAGCAGCAGTAGTAGTGGTGGTGGTAGTAGTTGCAGTTGCAATGCAATTACAATAGCAGTAGTAGTAGTAGCAGCCGCAGTCGTAGTAGTAGTAGTAGTAGCAGTAGTAGTAGTAGTAGTAGAAGTAGTAGGAGGTAGTCATCCTAGTAGTGGTAGTAGTAGTAGTAGCAGCAGTAGTAGTAGTAGCAGCCGCAGTCGTAGTCGTAGTAGTAGTAGTAGCAGCAGTAGTAGTAGTAGTAGTAGCAGTAGTAGTAGTAGGTAGTAGTAGTAGTAGTAGTAGTAGTAGTAGTAGTAGTAGTAGTAGTAGTAGTAGTAGTAGTAGCAGTAGCAGTAGCAGTAGCAGTAGCAGTAGCAGTAGCAGTAGCAGTAGTAGTAGTAGTAGTAGTAGTAGTAGGTAGTAGTAGTAGTAGTAGTAGTAGTAGTAGTAGTAGTAGTAGTAGTAGTAGTAGTAGTAGTAGTAGTAGTAGTAGTAGTAGTAGTAGTAGTAGTAGTAGTAGTAGGTAGTAGTAGTAGTAGTAGTAGTAGTAGTAGTAGTGACCTGTGGGAAGAATCGATGGGTTTCCCTATGGAAGCAAACCAATCCAAACCAAAGGAACCCGAATCTTTTGCTAAACCAAGCCGATCAAAAGGACATGCCCCCGGACTTGTCGCCTGTGACTTTTAATGGCAGCCAAAGGACACCAAGTGCGTCCTCTTTGAAGTTACACCTCTTGGGTTGCCTTACTTAACCCAGGGTAACCCTTCAATTTCGGGTCCTTGGGGCAGAGGAAGCAAAAGGGAACCCAAGAACGCCAACCCCCAGGTGCTTTTTGTTTGGGGGGTGTCCCATTTTAGAGGGCAGTAGACATTACCTGAACCAAACCCGAAAGGGTAAGTCAAATCCCAAGAAATGGAAGGGGTGAAGGAGGTCAATCAGCAAATTGGGGTTTCCAAACGGGAGGCCCAGAAAGATGAGACTTGTCCCGTCTCTTTCCGATTTCGGCGCGATTGGGAATGAGAAATGGAATGAACCTTTGTGTCCATTCGAAAGGAAACCACCCGTTGGATGATCTAAGTCGGGGTCATTCCGTTTCTCATTCCCTACTTATCGCAAGTAAAACCTTCATTTGCTTAAGTCCCCTGGAAAAAGTAAACATATTTCCAGTAGTGATAGATTCCCTTTAAAACCAACAGGGGAAAATAAAACATATTCGTTACCAAATGGAAGAGAAACATCGGTCGCCAGGGTGCAGCGGCCTGCAGGAACCACTCGAACTTTAAGGCCTCATCGGCCGAGGGCCGGGAAGTCACAATACCCAGCAGGCACCGGAGGAGGTGGCAGCTCTCCTGAGACATATCCGATGGACGAAATCCATTTCGCACCACTTGGAAACTAGGGTTGAAACCATAACGTTTGTTGGTATTTACAAGGGAATCATCCTTCCAGGGTTTCTTAGGTGGTGCAGGATTTCGTCCGTCCACAGTATCCGATGGGTGTGGCTTTTTCTCAAAAGTAGACGGATCGGAGGGGCAAAAAAGCCGCAGGTGTTGGTCCATGTTTCCACTTTCAAGAGGGCAAGCCATTTTGGAATTCCGTTTTTTTGAGCCACAGCCATATGATCGACAGCCCGAACCCCAAACAAAAACACGAGGGCGACTTCCGTTCATACATCCCCCGCGGTAAATTCAAACTCGAGGGCGGGGATCCGTGACCGGCGCGACCGGGATTTCTGTTCGGATCGTGCGAACCAAAAGCAGTGCAAGGGAAGCCGAAGCAATCGAGCTGCAATAGTGAAAGGCGATTTCTGCTTGTGACCACTGATGAACATCGATCCACAGCCCAAAAAAGCTTGCCCCAGATTCCGTTCATGATGGCTTCTGAGAAGCTTTACGGAATCAGGGGGGCAAAAGAACTCCCAAAGTCGGCGACATCGCGGAGAACAAAAAAATACGCATCAGTTTTGGCCACTTCCTGAGATGAGGGGGGAACCCAACAAAAGGACCACTACACTCAGCTTGGCAAGTGGGATGCCAAGCTCCTCGTTGGGCAAAACCCCTTCGGTTGGACAGTGGAGGGGGTCTGTTGATGCTGCCTGCCGTCTTTGCAGAACGCGAAAAAGCGAGGTTCAAACAAACAAAGAGATGTCAAGTGACAACGGAAGGCAAACCAATCAGTGTCTTGGGGTCCCTGATCTTGGGAACTACAATACAGCAAGTCAGACATCATGTTTGTGTTGCGAGTATAATTCAGAGCTCTTGGATAAAGTCAACTATGATTTACAGCATCCCGTTTGGAAACATTGCAGTTTGTGATGACCCTGCCAGACCCTTGCACCAGTCAAGGAACATGAGCACGTGCCCGAAAGCCGTGCCCCCACACAAAATCCTGATTTCACTGGCCGGGACCAACGGGAATAGGCATGTGACGATGTGTGTATATATATATATATATACATATGTACATATATATATAATATATATATATATGGACACGTGCGCCACCACCAAAGTTCAAAGACGTCCACCTTCACCAAAAAAACTGGCAGCTAGAGACAACAAGCAAATGGGAAGCTCTACTGAAGAAATCCCACTCCATGAAAAGCAGCAGGCCGACCAAGCAGGCCTTTCTTGAAGTTGGATTTTTTCCATTGGGCTTCTATCCAGCTCCAGCTCCCCGATCCCGACACCCCGAACCCACTCGGACACACAACCAAAAACTAAACCCGGCCTAAACTAAACCAATACATATGCATATGACATATACAAATACACATGTAAGTATGCATATGCATAGAGTTACATACATACCTACAACTAACATATGTGCATATATATATATACATGCACATAAATGCATTGGGGCACTTGGCTCTGGGGAATGCTGATGTGTTCCTTGAAATAGGCCAAGGCTGGGAAATTCCAAGTGTGGGAAACCTTCAGCACCCACCGAGTTTGCAGAGCTGCACCCACCGGTCAATGAAACCCAAAGCTCCTGCCCGACCTGCAGCGCCACTTGTCTTTGCAACATGGCCATGGGTCAAAATCCAAATACCCCCAGTGAACATCCCGATTCAACCACTAAAATAGGTTCTAAAATGGGTGGTGAATTCACCTACCCCAAAAATGGTACCAACAATTTTTTTGACAGCCACAGCCACATGACTTGTCAGCCCCCGAACAGAAATGGAGAAAGAAAGCCACAAACTCACCCACTGGAAGTCTCCGCCACCCGATCCCCTTGTCACGGCCCATCCCGAGAGGTGTGGCAACAAATGAAGCTGGGATAACGTTAACCCATAAACCCCAGGTTGATTTTTTTTGGGGGGTGTCCCCTTTTAGTGGGGGTTTATCACTTTTGGAGGGAACACCCCCCTAATGATGGGACAGGTTTATTAATCCTGGGTCAACATTAGGGGGATGCCACACTAGACATCCTTTTGGGACAGGGAACGGGACCCAACGGTGGAACCCACTGCGTCCATGCTCCATCGCAAGACTGGAAATCATGAGGGCCCCCCTGGAAGTACACTATTCTCCATTTACCCACCAAGGGAAACCACGAGAATTGCCCAAACAAAAACATCTAATAGATGTGGACTTTCTCCCCATGCATCAATTCTGGGTAACGTTCACCCCGGATTAATAAACCCCTGGTTGTTTTTTTTGGGGGGGTGTCCCCCTTTTAGTGGGGGTTTATCACTTTTGGAGGAAACACCCCCCTAACGATGGGACAGGTTTATGTATCCTGGGTCAACATTACCCCGATCCATCCCTGTCCTGGGATAGCCCCACTGCAGCCCCCCAGGGCTTCACCGGCAGATCCCCCCGCAGCGTCGCAAAGTTCGTGGCCTTCACCGTCGAGCGCAGGAAGGCCTCCCACGCATCGGAGTGATTGCGGCCACATTTCCAGGAAACGGATGCGCTTTCTGTGGTTTTCCCCATGTTTGGCAAGCTGTTCCTCTTTTAATACTCTTTTTGTACTCTGTTGCTATCCTACAAGGGTGGATCCACAAAAACCGCATCCAAACGGTTTTCTAGAAGACATCAACAGAGGTTCAGCGGATCTTTCGTTGGTCTCCAAAGCGTCTTGACGTTTTTTCAGCCCCCTGGCGCAAAGTCAGACAAGAATTATACCTCCAGTAGTGATAGCTTCCCTTTAACACCAACAAGGGAAAATTATTACAAAAACTTAAACAAATCGAGGAAAGTAAGGGACAAGGAATGCCAAATCCTACGAGGGGACACAATATGGGTGACTCCAGAAGGAGTTGTGCGCACAAGTGCAAAGCTTAGCCATTGCCATGCGGGCAAAAGGACTCCTCAATGCGCAGAGCTGCTATTATTTTGGGGTTTAGGACATTGGTTTGCACGAGAAATCAGGCGATCACCCTGAGTATAGCGCGTTCATGAAGGGGTTCCTCTGGATCCCCAAGAAAGCGTCCTCACGGAACCTCCTGGTGAGTTCCCGCTATTTTGGCAGAACTATATGAAGAAGAAAAGACCCTTCATAGTTGGCTTGCTTCGATGTCCTCATGCAAACCACCCACAAACGGGTCCCCAAATCCAATACACTACGCCAATGGAAATTCCCACTCCTGTTTTCCCGGCGAGTATCAACACATGCTTTCTGGCTCGGCCAAAGACAGAACCGGAAAAAGCCTTGCGTTTCCTGGTAAATTGGTCGTCAACGTAGCAATTCCAAAAACTGAGAAAGTGAACATCGTTTGGCCTGCTCACCCAAAGGGACAATCACCCAACACCTTGCCCACCCCAAAAAAAACAGAAAGGCAACAAAACTGTGCGATTCCTAATGTGGGTTTGCAGGTGGTCTCAGCTCTGCACACATTGCCAAACATCGCCCCGATTTGAAAAAATAACAACAATGGGCCATTTGTGTTTGCACCCACCCAAAAGAAACGGGGTCCTTTTTGCAAGCCAACACATTCCATAACGAAACCAGTTGGACTCCTTGATTCGCTTTCACAGGGCATCAACATGGGTCAACACAAACTACCTGGCCCCATCTAAATGGAAAGCAACATTATGATTCTGCACCAACCTCACCAGGAACCCGCTTAAATTAAAGAATGGCTGCAACAAAAAGCTCCAGATTCATGGGTAAAATGTCAAATGCCCTGCCAAAGTCCCACGTTGGGACAGCGCTGCCGTGACTGACGGGTGACGGGAAGCACAAGGATGCAAAGCAAATGTTTGTGAAGGGGCAAGCTTGGGGGTCCAACCCCAAAAAAACGATGCCTCACTGGGGGCCCTTGACTGCACAGTTCCTCAAAGGGTCCGCCTCCTGCTGGAAGAGAAGCAAATACAGCACCGCTCCCAGCGAGAACATGTCCTCGGCAACATCTCGCAGTGCTTACCTTTTACATCATTTTACATCTTGCATAACAAGGTGGGGTCTTACATTCTCCATTACTTGCGCATCGAAATAGATTGGTTCCCTGGGATATCAACGCAGTTTTCTTGATGCTTGCCTTCGCTACATGTTGGCCCAGCAAAAAAGTCAAAAGGCTGATGGTCGCCATGGATGCATTGTCGACGCAGACTGTAGTCACTGGCCTTGCCTGGGGCTGCTTCACACAAGTGTGTGTTGCGAAACGTCCGCTCTTGTGGTAAGTGTTTTCGTCAATGTGAGAATTTTTGATTTTCCAGAGCCAGAAAATCAGGTAGATTTGTGGTGTCAACCCCTCCAAGTCCAATTGCCACAGGGACCAACCATGACGACTCTTGCATGGCATCCACGCTGCCTAAGGAAGCACACCTTGACCTTGGAGGAACAGCAAGTTTTGGCAGTGATTGCCATCACCAGCACTCAAACAAACTTCGCTGCAAGATGCTTCCTCAACGCGAGACTTCACAGAGCTTCCACTTGCTTAAGCCCTCTGCGCAAATGTAGATATGTCCAGTAGTGATAGATTCCTTTAAAACCAAAAAGGGGAAAATAGAACATGTTCTGAAGCAAATGGAAGAGAGCGTTGCAGGTGTCCAGTCGATGGATCCAAGATCTGTGGCCACACTCAAACACAAGCACACGCACACGCACACGCACACGCACACACACACACATGCACGCATGCACACACACACACACAGACACCCACACAGACACACACACACACACACACACACACACACACACACACACACACACACACACACACACACACACACTCACTCACGCACGCACGCACGCACGCACGCACGCACTCACGCACGCACGCACGCACGCACGCACGCACGCACGCACGCACGCACGCACGCACGCACGCACGCACGCACGCACGCACGCACGCACGCACGCACGCACGCACGCACGCACGCACGCACGCACGCACGCACGCACGCACGCACGCACGCACGCACGCACGCACGCACACGCACACACGCACACACGCACACACGCACACACGCACACACGCACGCACGCACGCACGCACGCACGCACGCACGCACGCACGCACGCACGCACGCACGCACACGCGCACGCGCACGCACGCGCACGCACACGCACACGCACAAATTCACGCACACACACACACACACACAACCACACACACACAAACACGCACGCACGCACGCACGCACGCACGCACAGACGGACGCACGCACACACGCAAACACAGACGCACAAACGCACACGCACAAACGCACACGCACACGCACACGCACACACCCACGCACACACACACACATACACGCACACGCACACGCACACGCACGTGTACACGCGCACGCACACGCACACGCGCACGCACACGCGCACGCGCACGCGCACGCACACGCGCATGCACACGCTTAGCACAGGCACACGCTTAGCACACGCACACGCTTAGCACACGTACACGCACACACGCAAACGCGCACGCACAAAACACACACACACACACAACAACACACAACAACACACAACAACACACAACAACACACAACACCACACAACAACACACAACAACACACAACAACACACAACAACACACAACAACACACAACAACACACAACAACACACAACAACACACAACAACACACAACAACACACAACAACACACAACAACACACAACAACACACAACAACACACAACAACACACAACAACACACAACAACACACAACAACACACAACAACACACAACAACACACAACAACACACAACAACACACAACAACACACAACAACACACAACAACACACAACAACACACAACAACACACAACAACACACAACAACACACAACAACACACAACAACACACAACAACACACAACAACACACAACAACACACACCAACACACACCAACACACACACATTCACACACACACACATTCACACACACACACACACCAGCGCACACCCACACAAACACACACACTCACACACACACACACACACATGCACACGAGGTTGCAAGCACACACGAACATAGACGAACAAGCACACACGAACAGAGACGAACACGCACACAGCTGAAGACACACACACACACTGTCACACACAAGGACAAATAAAAAATACCAACGCAAGGACACACGCACACTCACGCATACACCCACACAAACCCAACAGACATATACACATACGCACACAAACGCGTTTGCACAAACAAACAAGCACACACAAACAAGCAGACAGACAGACACGCAGTACATTCCAGTTCGGAGAGCCCCCTGAAGAAGTAAGGGTTCATGGTTTTGTGAGAGCCCGGAATAGCACGTCATGACCAGCTTAACAAGCTAATGAGTTCCTCTCTTCATCGGCTTGTAGCAGCTTGCTGAGCTGCTGTGTGTGTGTGTTTGTGTGTGGTTGTTTCTTTCTGTTTTCCGTGTGCGTGCGTGTGTGTGTGCGTGTGTTCATGTGTGTCTATTTGTGTTCTTGTGTGTGGGTGTGTGTGTGTGTGTTTGAGGTGTGTGTGTGTGTGTGTTTGAGGTGTGTGTGTGTGTGTGTGTTTGTGGGGTGCGACTGTTTGTGTGATTGTGTGTGTTTTGGGGTGTACCTGGGGCCTTGAAAGACTGTTTCAAAGCAGGTGCGGGCGGAAAAACCACTTCTGAGGCAAACGACCGGAACCGGTTCGAAATCCCTAGCCTACGGGGCCTTGACTTTGCCAGGCCTGTCTACTTTCCATTTTTCCAGTTGGCTAAACCAGAAATGGCCGTGAGCATTCATGTGCGCAATCTAGAATCGAGAAGCCACTGC